AGAAACACAAAAACAATTTTTGACACAAACCCTGAAAAGAATAGACCACTTGGTAGTCCTAAGCATAGATGGAAGAATAATATTAAAATGAATGTGAAATAAATGGCGTGTGAAGGTATGAACTGAGTTCATTGGGCTCGGGATAGGGGTCCACTGTGAACACGGTAATAAGAATGTCTTAACCAGCTAAGCGACTGTCAGCTTCTGAAGAAATATTCTGCTGCATGAAGTCACTTATAAATACGAAATGAAAGTTCCTTTTGTAAAATGCTTTTTAAGAGACGTACGTGGTGCTGTTAAAAAGAGGTTTTTTGTTACTGGATGTCATAAGAACCAGATTTAAATATCCATGGAACAATACGTATAACTCGACGTTTCGTTATGTCGCTTTTAACAATAGAAATTTCACGACGCACTTGCCACATTTCAATCAATATCTTTACGTAATCTTTTTTTCCCATTGCATAATTTATATGCGCTTATAATATGAAGACAACGAAATATATCTAACCCTTTAAAGCCGATTGGTAAATATTTGTACCATCTGCTTTACCAGTCAGTAACCCTACGATTTGTTTTTGCTGATTTCGAATTATTCTCAGAATAAACAGCGATTATTTCCTTAAACTTTGTAATGGTGAAGTGTAGTGTTTTCTTCGCGGTACGGACTGGATTCTTATATATTACGTAGATTAACTTCGGCTTCAAAGGATTCTTAAGTCGTTGACACAAAGTGGAGTGACCACGGCGGTAACCCGTGCCCCCTCTAACCACGCATTGGGCTTGTCCAAGCTCTTTCTGTGGGGGTCGATAATGGGGTAACGACAGACCGTCACTTCAACATTCGCACAAAACAAGTAGTTCTATGACATGTCTTGCTTCGCGTAGCAGAAATTTTGTAGTCGTAATCATAAAACGCCTGAGCCTGTACCCCACTTTTCCTACAATTTGGTTTTTTGATATAAACGTACGTAGATTTGGTCTATTTTGATTTAGGGCTCTAAATCTAAAATGTTACTCACTTATTGGATTTATAAAATCGTGCTATATATCCTGCCCATTATTTTATTATTGACTTAATAACTTTAATAATAGTAATAATAAACGCCGAAGTCACTAAATATGTAACTGTATCTATTCTCTTAATTAACTTAACTCCATGGAGTAGAACCCTTATTGAAAAAATACTAGCCACTCATCCTATAAATTCTCCGCATCCATTTTATTTATTTATATAATGTTTATTTAACGATTTTCCAGTTCCTCAACATAGCCTTTATAGCATTGAAAAAATGAAAATTAATGAACAACGATCCGAAAAGGATATGGAACCATTCGAATTAAAAATGTCAATTTTTTTGTGATTTAAATTTTAATATATACAAAGATTTACCGACATAAATCATTACTTTTTTTCTGGACTAAATCCATCGTTGAAGGGGGTCCAGAGATTGGGATTATCCCCTTCTAGAGGAGACAACAGAGTAGATTTTTTTATCACCTGAATACGGGGACAAAGCCAGCCCCCGAAACGTCGTTGCTTTATTTTAGTACTCTGAAAAATGGATTTAGCACAAAATAGTAACAGACCATCGTTGAAACATCTTTATAAAGTTACCTTAAACAACACAAATGTTATCCTTTTGTTATTTATCGTAAGTAAAAGTATGTAGGTATTTGTTAACAGCACTTGCGAGCCCCTTATGACTGCAGTCCCATGCAAGTCTTAAAACATCCACTTCAAAATGTGATTTAAAACCGAATGTAGCCACAGATTGTCGTTAACCTAGTTCCGTAATGTAAAGTTTACTGATTTATTGCAGTCTGAGCAGAGTTAAATCCCTGAACGTCGATCCTCGGACACTTAATTTCACTCCATTAATGATCAAATCCTTGACATGAGATAGAACGTTCTCACAACAGTTGAGATGTCTATTTTTGTCTACTGTGTACCTAAGCCGTGTGAATTTGTAGGTAGATGTCAATGTTTCGGAGGAAAATTCAGCTTACATCTTCAGGACTGAAGTTGGGGGTAGTATGCTTCGGCAAAAAAAACGCTGATATCTACCTACAAATTCACACGGTGTTTCAACCCTGAAGACCAACATCAGCAGTTCTTGAAATGTTCAATAAATAGTGATGGCACACGAAGTACAGTGGAACCTCGATATAACGCGGGTTTCGGGGGTAGGGGCAGCTTTAGTACCCGCGTTATATGTGAAATATATATAAAACATATGTATTCGTGTTTGGGGGTATTATCACAGCCGCGGTATAACGAGGCGCGCTATATCGAGGTTCCACTGTACTTGATTCTGTCACACAGATTATTCTGAGCGAGAGGAGAGTTGAAGAATTTCGGGGTCAGCTTATTTAATTGACGGTGTTGAAGAATTATTCCTTAGGCCTACGTACTTAAAAATAGGCCTGATGATTTTACTAACTCGGTGTGAAATTGTGTCTCTCATCCCAAGGGAAGAACACAGATTATGGGTGAGATCTGCTGTTTTCCCAACCGTGAAAATGATGTTTATAATCTCCTGAGTTCTGGCGCCGTGTGGACCGAGCTGTTCACAAGACGCCGGAACAGAAAATATCATCATAACCATCAACATGACAGATTAAGTGTGTTTGAAAACAAGGTGCTGAGTAGACCATTTTGGACCTAAGAGAGAGGAAGTGCAAGGCATATGGATGTTATACGGAAGCAATACACCCAAAAGATACAAAATACACTGTCACAATTTTTATTCTATTGTTGTAGACAAGACAACAATCATGCGCCTTTGTGGCGCGACTTAAGCTGTTCTTCCTCTTAACGCTACGAAACTTCCTTTCTCTCTCCCTCCCCCTTTTAGAAGTTTTTTGGTGTTTTCCACCCTCTGACATGAACGAAAAACACCTTACGGGTCCGTCTATGTCTACCTGTCGCGTGTTTCGCTACAATGGGACTGGAGGTTCCATTGTTGTAAAATACTTTTGTGCAACAATTACTTTCGATCGCATTGGTTCAGAAATTACCTACGTGATGTGTAGTGAATAATATTCTTTTGAAACTTTCAAATCTTGTAATAATCTGTCTCGTGTAGACTGCAGGTCTTCACTGATGGAGGTTGAGTCCATTATGAAACTGTTAATTTACGGGACAAGACAGACGAACGCAGACATCCATTTCAGCTGTGATATTAACCACAAACAATCACTAAGAATAAATTTTTCTTAGAAGTCAGTCTAGCAGTCTCTGAACATGGCTGCTTATTGCCGCATTTAGTGAAATACAACATTTTGATAAAATGCAATTGATTTTAAGAGTTGCTACTTTTTTCTTACGTGGAGAATGCGCTCTATCATGTAGTGTGAGACCATCTGAGGTGTTGATGTCACGTGGGCGTAGTTGTGAACGAAATCTTACGCTGACCGTTCTAGAGACGTTTACCAAGACGCTGGATGGCGTCGAAGGTGATTTATAACCCTCCTGATGACCGAGTAAGCTGTCGTTGTCCCTTGCCCACGTCCGTCTTCGCAGATACAATGTAAAGACAGAACGTCGAGTGCTTTAATCGTCTCTGTTAAAAGTTACACTTGACTTTTACGTTCTGGAAGAAGGAAGTGATTGCTGCGAAGAAGGGAGACAGAGAGAGAGATTTAGGAACAAAAAGAGAATTGTGGGAGAGAATTGAGAGATAGGGACAGCATTACTGTTTGGGGGGGGGGGGGAGTGTCTTACAGTCAGAAGACTTCCAGGCAATGCCCGCTCGTCTTACCGAAAGGACAGAGTGAAGACTTTAGGATGACAACAGCGACGACGGAATTTTGATTCGTTTGTTGGCGACCTTGAACCCGGAAGTGACCCACACATACCAAACCAACAGGAAGTGTCGTCACCTTTCGGATACCACCGCTTTCAGGTTGGTTGTGCACTGAACCGTATTATTAATATTATCATTGCGATCAAATGAGGGTGACTTATGCCAGACATGGAGGAAATGGCATCCAGGCATGGATGATAGGATAATATTAAAATGAATCCTGAATAATTTGTGATGCTGCGAGATGGATTCAAATGACTGAAAATAAAGTCGAGTGTCGAACCTTCCATTTTATATAAAATAAGGGGAATCTTCTATTAGCTGGTCCATACTTCATTCAGGCTTACAGTCAAACACGAAATGCTTGTTTATCGGTTGTATTCGCAACGTTATTTTACATCGGCGCGCCTGCAGAAATCAAACTAGGCTACACGCATTAGTCGGGTGCTGGAGAAGTGGTGTAGGATGTAAGGAGAGAGCGTTTCTATTAATCACGCTTTTAGGTCTGCTTCGTATCAAGTGAATAGACTAAACTCGAGGGTAATCAGCTTCACATTATCACTCTGCCCAGCACCCGAAACGTCGGTAAGCAGCCAAGAGACGACGCGTCATAACAATCAAGAAATTCGGCAAATATATTGACAACGTCGTGAAAACAGCGAAGCGTTGTGGTTGTAATTTCGCATGTTTGGAGATTTTCTTTGGCGTCCGTGTTCCTCTCGGTTCTAGATCATTCTATTCTGCAGATTTTACTTTAATTATATATTATTATACAAAACACGTTCGTTTTTGCAACTTGTAATTCTGTTTATCGTTTTAAAACTTGTGTATTTTCTGTTTTCGTCTTTCAACCGGAAACGATAACATTAATATGGATCTTAGGGATACAAGAACCGGTAACTGGCTGGCTAAGGGCTGAACGACCGGGTTTGACCTACTTTTTATTGTGATACGACGTACTACGTCAAGGCTGACAGGAACACCGTAGATGATGTGCATATCAACCGGTTCTTGCACCCACCAATGATTTATCTATAAATTCACTCGTCAATCTATCGATTCATCCGTCCTCCAATTCATCCATTTATCTCTTCCCCCCTCAATCCTTTCGCCCAACTACGTGAGTAAGTCAGAATGTTTAGGTGTAACTGCTTCGGAGTGCATTCCACAACAGAAACAAATCTCACTCACCGTTCATAAAATGATCCGATCCAGCGATCATCATTCTGTGAAGACTTTGCCCGGTAGAGAAATCATCAGTCTGTGTGTGTGGATCGCGTTGCTAGCCCATGAGCGAGTTCAGTAGATGCACGCGTCCTGAACCCGTGATATCACTTCACTTTCATTGCCTTTGAAACTGCGGACGCCGTACCGAAAGCCGACCCGAGACCATCATCGTAAAACGTTCGCTACTAACTGCTGACCGGACGACGCCACTGGCGGCAAGTCCACTATTAAGGGGGAGCGGTACAACCTGCAGCGCATGCGCCCTAGCGTATGCGTATTGACCAAATATTGCTCCTGCACACACTAACAACTAACCCAGATACTAATTATACAAGAAATGTTGTGTTCCGTGTACGTCCATCAATTTGTTTCGTTTAACTATGCTTTATATTCCTCACAATGGGAATGTCTCGCTGTGGCTTCAGCTTACGTAATATTTCGTTCTCTATTTGAAATGCAGGTCGTAGTCAAACCAAAATTACCGAGCGCTGACAGCTAGTCCTGGATTCAAACCCAGGCTCTGTTCTGGAGGGAGTGATGATCTGGTATCCGGTTTTGTGGTCTTTCAACAGTTTTGTTAAAAAAAAATAATAACTTCTGTAAAAAGACAGCAGAGTTTTGTTAATACGGGTTATATTCAAAATTCACTTAAAATTGTGTCATAAAATTACTTATCTTTCATAACTACCTGTTAAGACAGTTAAAATTACGTTCAAGGAGAGAGAAAATAAATTACCAAGTAAGCTCACATAAAATTCCACATACCTCTCGTTAACATTAAATCCATCTTATCATTATTCATATACATGACTTAGCTCTAATTCCTTCCTTAACCCCACACCAGTAATACACGCAATCATCCAATTGCCTCTCAGATCCCTGAAGATGGAGGCAGTATGTTTAACCTAAACTTTGGTGTCTCCCTGTAAAGTCCACGTGGAGTTTCAACCCAGAAGAACAATATGAGAATCATCACCGCCGTCAGAATCTCATATCTCAAGGTTTACAAAAGATTAAAAGTGTTAGAATGACATAAAATATTAATTAGTTGTTTTATGTATTCTTCTCACTTGGCGGTGAGTCATTCAACGGGTTTTGAAAAAAAAAAAGTATCTTCCCTTACAGGAAGCCTACATTCATTTACAACAGAATAGATCCACTATAACACATGCCTACATGGACGTTCTGAAACTTACCACCTCAACAAGTACTGTTTCAATTGTTGTTGCCAGCAAAGTTTACATCTTTTTGCAGCCTAAAGGTAATATCGTTTTAGATGCCTTTTTACAACCTTACACACAATAGAATAGAATTTATTTACATTCCATAGATCCTTCATAGGCCTAAGCCAAGGATGTAGAACAGGTCATAGCACACATACAATACTGGTTTCTAGTACAAATATAAATACATAGTTATAACAGCTATTGACAGATTTTTCGAACTAACAGAATAACGTCTGAAAAATTATATAGGTCGAGTAAAGGTAGGATGTAACAACCAAAACTGACATCTGAGATGACTGTCTTCTGGGTTATTTCGCCGTGTAGTGGTAGAAATTTACCGACGTTTCAGAGGTGCTTGCTTTCTCCAGCATCAGGGCTATCTGTTAATTTCGCGATACGCAGCCTTTGGCGAGGAAGTTTCCCCCATATCTCAAGAAACATCTGTTCATCAGAAGAAACAAGTTTTTCACAGAAATTTAATCTTCTAAACGACATCGTAAATTCGTAGTTCGTTAAGTTTTGCATTAGTTTTGTTGTTATTGGGTCAGATGGCGTTGGTTGTAGAAAAGACGAGTTTATCACTTGCAGTTTCCATGTAATATGTCAGCTGTTCGTGTTGGTTTTATAAATAAAGATGGTTGTGGGTGCTTTTCCGATAGCAAAGTTAGGTGCTTTGTTGTTGAGACAAGTAAGCAAGCCCATAGCAAATATGCTCATCAAAAGGGCAAAAAATTATCCGTTTTTTAGGCAATATATATGTATGCCACCCGCTCAGTGTAAGTAATCGTCATTATAGGTTAAGTGATGAAAAATTCAGCTTTAGTATGTAAGAAATTAAACTGAATACTGCAATTAGGTGAATAGTAATTGAACCGCATTATTTAACGATTTCAAAAATAACAAGACATCTGAACAATCAGATCAACTGTGACATCTGCTAATGCCATCTCAGTAATATCTTCTTAATAGCTAAGTAAATGGACAGTTGATGTTTTATCCTTAACATCTCATCTTACTGAAAGATCTGAAGTTAGATTTAGTTTCAAAAGAAATGACACAAAATTACTTTGAGGCTAATATTACAGGAAACTTTATTGAGATCCCTTAAATAGAATGATATTCATTACTAGTATTATCTTTATCTGTTTTGGTAGAGCTTTAGGAAATAAATATATTTCTTATCTTTAAATCTTGCTAATCACTTCACACAAATTTATTATTTATAGGAGCTGTCTTATGTAATATTACATGTTTGACACTTATCAGTGGGTACAAGGCATTCAGAATTAAGTTTGAAGTTACAAACATTCTCATGTACGCTTTCAAAACCATGACAAGGAGATGTTTATTTTGTTTTAATGTAACTCACAGAGAAATGGATACTTACCTACAGATTTTCTGATTATGACAGAATAACGTTTCTGGGATGAGTAATTGCCAGTTTAAACTAACTGTCAAAGATGCAGTTTCAGATGTAAGAAGTTGAAACTTATAAAGGAAAATGTAGCTTTTGTTTACTTTGGGATACACCAAACTCCAACCTCTGGGCACTTAACACCATAGTTATATAATTAAGCAAGTCACACACTAAATTTAGCCTTTGAAGCTGATGTAGAATAATAAATAATCTATAAACTGAATTGCACACTACAGTGTTCATTTGAACAATTGTCAATGAGACATAAAGTGAAAATTTAGTTTGCACAGTGTATATTATCTTTGTGACTGTAACTATTTATCTGCCTTCATTACTGTTTATTTTTTCTGACAGTTTACAATTGGTGTGAGGTGAAGTCAAAAATGTGGATTTTGAATCTTGGAAAACCAGTTAATGTTCCATCTTTGAATGAGACAATGGCAATAGAACTAGGAGCCAATCTCATCGGTGAAGGCCTCATATTTGTGATTGCAGCAGGTATTGTGTTCTCGGAATACACCCGGCAGGTACGGAGGGATCGCTTAAAGGAAGAATCAAGACACGATGAAATAGAGAGGCTGAATACGATACTCGAAGACCTGTACTTTCATAGCGAGAAGCAAGACGCACAAATACGAGAACTAATGAGGACCGTGCACGACCTTCAGGGTCGAGTTATTCATAAACCGTGGCTAGGTCGGAAGGATTTACCACCCCCCACACCCCCTCCACCTCATTCTCACTCATCCCATCCTCCGCTACTTCAAGTGCCAGAATTGGATAATGATGATAAACGTAAACAGAAAAGCCCTGAACATAATGGCAAACCAGTTGACTGTAGTAACAATGGAGTCATTTTGCAGGCTTTAGATTATTTTGAATATGAGGTAAGAGGAAGAGAGTACCACATATTTGAATCATAACTGTAGGAACCCAATGAACAATCAGTGTGAAGTACTTAGTAAAAGACAGACATTATCTCAGGCCAACGAGAAACATCAAATGGAATCTTTAATCCCGTCTGATATCAGTATAGGTTTTCACGACGTTTTTGATTACTGAATAGATACTTTGCTGTCCAGAGTTGAGATTTAAGCATGGACGGCAAACATGATGAGATGTCTGAAATGTATGTATATTGTAAAGTTTTTTTTGTAGGATTTTAATTACTTTATTGGTATGAAAAACTTGTATTTAATTTTGTAAACCAAACTGTGAATATGACATGTATTGTTAATGTGCAATTTAAAAATATTTTTTATTTTACAGCTGAAGTATATGCATAGCAGGCTCAGAAGTTTTGAATACTATTTTAATAGCTTCTGTGTTGTTCATGTACTATAGATTGTAATAATATTAAACATCTGTGATGACATTGATTCATATAGGGATGTGAAAAACATGAATCGTTGTTCAGCCACCATTTCATGCACATATAGTTTGACTTCCTTCAAACATTTCGATAGGATGGCCAGATATTGAGTGAAGTGTTTAATATTTTATTTCTGAATCTCTCTGGTACCATAGACCCATTTTCCCCAATCATCTCATACACTCTGAATAAAATGTAGACTAATGAAAATACAGATAAAAGGTGAATTTTTTTGTCATGTTTCTTACTCCAATATGGAAGAGAAAAATGTAATAAAAAGCTTAAAACTTAACAGCAAAAATACAAGTGGAATTTAATCAACTCGTGGACCCCTGAGGCACAACTTGTAGAACCCTGGTTCAGAAGCACTGGTCTAGGATGTAGCTTGCCATTATTTGTTGGTTCACATTCCTTATTTGTAAGGAAAGATAGGCTTTTGGAACTGTAATATTTGTGTGTTACCCCATAGTAATGTTTGAACTTCATTAAACTTTTTATGAACATCATATCACTAGAGGACACTCCAATTTTATATTTTTAATTGGCAAAATTTTGTGTGGTAGTAGATCTTTAAAACATATGGAAATTTTGTTGAGGTTATCTTTTGTGGAACGAAAAACTACAACATGGTAGTCATGAAAATTCTGTACATGACTGTAATTTTAATTCCCTGTACTCTTCTAGTGTTTTACCCCCATAGATTGACAATTCTGATATCATATCTGTCTAGGGAGAATGCAGAACAATGCTGTATTCTTTTGTAGATCTGCTCATTCCAAGATTCAGACCACACTGGTTATGGAATCAGTTGAAATCACAAAATGACTGTTCTCATTTGAGTTATTCAATTTTTTTAATGCAGTGTAAACCAAAGATGATGAAAATTATCCAGGATTCAAACACTCAATTTTGGAGAAGTTCTTACAACTTATCTTCAAATTTTCCATCTATAAGACACATTGCATTATGTGCATCTTTGCACTGAAGAAGCAAGTCTGGAGGAGTAACTATGGTTTATCTTGTGAACAAGGTGGCAAGTATGAAAATGGCTGTCTTCTATGTTCCTGCACTGTGTAATATGGTCCATAATGCATATTTTAAAGAGAGACTATTGTATGGGCAGAGTCATGGACATATGCTTTGATAGAGGAAAGTGAACTAAACCAGCTGAGTTTAAATTCCTGAGGGGAATAGTGCAGGAAATAGACTGAAATGGTCTGAATATGGAATGTAACGTATATGTGCACATTTGTCTTGCCGCTTCTTTTATTTGCAGTTGCCGTCACTGATGGTGCCTACGTTGGTATTAATCGGTAGACGATGGTGCTGTAACAACACTCTACGAAACAGAACAATTCTGATCGCGCGTAACATCATGTTGAAAAACGAAAACATCTGAATAGAGCTTCGCGTTTTGAATTTGTTGTATGCGTTAACATGTAATCCGTGGTAAAATTTAAGATATGTGCTTCATTTTTAATTTTGCAGGCTTTGCTGTGAGATGTGCTTAAAAATGTTTAGAAAGGTCTCATCCGTCATGCATAATAGTTACAGTGTGACAAAAGTTTTGCATAAACATTTGAAAGTGCTTGTAATTTTTTGCCGTAGCACGAATTCTGTAACAACGCCTGGATTAATTTTGAGGAATAGGAATTCTTCGACGGAGATTGGTGTACAGACTGATATCAAGCAGAATACTGCAACTGGGAGTGAACATGTGGTCACAAATGAGGTTACATCAAGTGTTCATAGTAACATAAATACGTCTAAGAAAAAATATTCGAAAGATGTTTTAGAGTACTTGAATTCTAAAGATTATCTGAAGCCTGTTTTGTGTTCCTTCCCTCAGAAGCTTCTGAAACGCAGGAAAGTAGCCCCAGATGCTCTGTATACTGTAGATAGAGATGTTGCAAGTAAGTATAGCAGAGGAATTTTATGGCACCCAAAGCTTTCAGTTTTGTTCTGTTTTGTATAGTGCTATCCCAGTTCTCAGACTATTTCCACTGTCTTTCAAAGGGAATTGAGACCTGACTGTAGCAGAAAAAAACTAATTTTATGACCTAACATGATGTGTGGTACAGCTCTGAAACCATAACTCAGCAGTCTCCCTTAGCCATGTGAGTGATTTTTAACTCATACAATTAATGAAATGTTCCTGGCCAGATTTTCATGTGTGATGGTGTATTAATTATCAAACCCATAAATAAATGGTTTTTTCCATGTGGTTTGTGCATTTGTAACAAGTTATTTTTAAAAAGTTTAATATTGCTCAAAGATCTGTCATTTCAGACACACATGAGAGACAGCATTATCTGAAGCTCTTCTTTTCTTATATAATATAGAACACTTTTTAATGAAAATATAATTCTCTTCTTAGTGAGATCGGATATAACTGTTATATTTTATTTCAGAGAATCTGGTTGATCAAATTGCACAGGATATTGTGAAAGGAGGAGCTCCAGTGTTTGAGGTAAATCCAGGCCTTGGGTTTATATCCAGGGGGCTTCTGGCTGCAGGTATTCAAAGATTGTGGCTGTGTGAATCGGCAGTATCATTTGCTCAACAGATGAAGGTAAAAATATTGGATAGAGTCCTTCAGAAACTAATAGTCACTCAGCTTAGAAAATTCCCAATCTTCCATGGGACCTGAAGTTTAATTTTGGTGTTCACAAAAATATTTCTTGTTGGTCTCTTTGAAATGACTGGTTTAACAAGCGAATGCCACAGGTCCTTATCTGGAGACAGATGAATCTGATCCCTCCTACCTTATTTCCATATGATCCATTTCAATACTATCATCCCATGTCTTCTTAATAATCTTTTATGGTTATTATAGGGAATTAAAAGGGAAGAACTGGCTAAATATTTAGGAACTATTTTAACAGGATTTCAGAATTTTCCTTCTTTTGTAGTTTCTGATACACTGCATTTTGTTCTTTTGTTGCAGGAATTGCAAAATGAATTCCCGGAACGAGTCAAAGTTTTAAATAAGGATTTATTTATGTTAGCGAAACTGGCTTACCAAGATAATATGGATGGTGGTTCGCGAGTCCAGAGCCTCTTTCACGGAGTACCCAAAGCAGAGTGGGAGGACGGTAGGTATTAAATTTACTGCAGTTCTGGCCAAATTTTTATACAGAGGCTTTTGTATTTTTGTGTTCTAAAAATGCATATTTGCACTGTAGTTTTCTAGAAACGGTCGTCATGTTTATTTATTCTAAGCATACAGTAAACACTACAATTATGAATGTGTGGATTATATATCGGTGCTTTAATTTGAATTTTATTTGACAATAATCCATTCTGTACTGTAAATGCATCTAAACGACGCGAAAGCTTTTGAGATTCCTGTTTTACGGCGTGTGTGTTTTGATAAAATTTTATTGTTGCTGTTAATGTTTGGATTGGTCATATTATGAGCCAAATTTAAAATCCGGAAGCAACCCAAATTCTGATATATTTGTTACAGATCCCGTAATGAAAATAATTGGTGTGTTGCCATCCTTGTCATTCATCAAACATGTAATTCAGAGCCACGTGTTCCAAACTGGCATTATTGCATATGGCAGACCAGAGTTTTACTTTATTATGTCGCCAGCTCAGTATTTTGTAAGTATCTTTTAACCTTTCATGTGTGTTCCTTTCAACTTTTGAATCAACTAATCAATTTCTATGAAATTTGATATCAATGTTATACCACTGAAGGGCACCCTAGCCCCAAAATTTTAAATTTCTCTACAGTCGCTAATAACAGCATAGTGGACATACAAATTGTGTGTTGGGAGTGACGTCAATTGATAAAGGGTTTAATAATAGAACTTTAAAGAGTATGAAACTGTTACTGAGGTAACTTTTGTAAAATATAATATGACTTGGTTTTTTGTGAAAATTTTGGTATAGCTTACAGTGATACAGTAACCGATTGAATTTCTCATCTCTACCGACAACTACTGAATTTATTTTATTTCACAATTATATAGAAGGAATTTTGTAAGCTACATATAAATTTTATATAATTCTAGAGTTGAGAGAATTTTGATGTTTACAAGATGGCCACAGTCGTACTCTGTTGTTTTATTTTACTAGCGATAATAATTTTATGTGGTATATAAGAATGTAAAATTTAGCAATTTATAATTTTTGTTGTGACTTATGTTCCAGTACTTGACTTGTCGTCCTGGAGATGGCTACTTCTTTTATAGATCCACTAGTATACTTTTCCAACTGATATTTGAATGGAATTTGCTTGAAAAGCTTCCACGTACAGGATTTTTACCCTGGGAAGCTAAACATTCTATCAAAAAGTGGTCAAAGCTGGTGAAGGTGAGCATATATTTAGTATAACTGCCCTGAACGTAAAGGAATAAACTTTAGCTTGTCGCAAGGCCTCTACCTGTACACAGGACAGCACGACACAGAAAAACGCGGGCACACATCCATGGCTTGAGTGGGATTCGAACCCACGGTCCCAGCGACCACGCGGCCACTGCGGACCTCATTTATATGGGCATGTAGCAAAATAATCCAGAAGACCATTAATGACATCCTCTTTGCTTTGAAGACTTTAGATGTCAGACTGTAATTTATTTTTCTTTTTAATAGTTATAACCACTACATATTTTATTTGCTAATTTCTTAGGTGTTTAAAGTAAATCAAAGTGTTTAATGAAGGCAACAGTATTTATTCACAGAGGAGTTCTTGAAGTCAATTCAGCGAAGAACAAACTGCAGTCTGTCCTGAATTTCTCTTCGGGCCTATCGTAGGAAGCGAGAATTATATTTCTACTGCAGGAACCTTCATCATATTTCTTTTTAGGTACAGACTATTGATCCAGACTTCATGTACCTTGTGAAGATTGTTCCACGACGAGATTTCTTCCGAACGGTTGTTTCAGCAGACCAGCTACAACCGCTCTGGTTCTTTGTTCGTCATCATTTGAGAAGTCGAAAGAATCGAGTCATACCTCAACTAGAGTAAGTGACGGTATTTAATTTTAGAAATGTTGTATTAATTCAGCTTATGCTGTGTATTGGCGATGACTTGTCTTATGTGCAGTGTTGTACAGCCTGCTCTGGAAAAGACATTTATTTTCTGTGAATAGGAAATGGATTCCTGGGTGTGGCCCTCGGATTATTATGGATGGGATGACGATCTTCACGGAGTTTGGTGATCTGACTCCGCAGGAAATATTGTCGGTATTTCAGAAGTTTGTCAGCTGGCCAGAATATCCTGAATGTCCATTTCTTGCTTCAATGGAGACCACGTTCATGAAGATGGAATCAGCCACTTATAATATTGAAAAGGATTCTGACGATGAGATTGAGGAAGTTGATGAACAATCATAGATCTGAGATGAAGGAAGATGCTGAAAGCCGTGACTTTCGGAAGTAGTCATTTCATCGTTGTATTAAATATTTTTCTTACATATGTAAAATATTAACATTGCTTAAAGCATGTGTTCATTTCTTTATCCTTCTCCCCCTGATTTCATTGACATTGTGACCATCACACAATATTTAAAGAAACAAAAGGAAGAAAGAATTAACACACATGTTGTGGTTTGAACAAGCGGTTAGACCTCATACATTCAGGTTGAATGAAACTTCAGTTACTGTCAGCTGGTTGACAAATCATTATCCATGATGTTGCAGGATCCCTCATAACAAATTTATAGGGCATTATTGTCTTCAAAATATTGTTATTTATGCTAGGTCTGACAAGTAACACGGCTGATAATTTTGCGCAGTAATTGACAACTCTGTTGAGATGGCATGTTGTTTATTCTGTTTAGTGATTGCAGTAATAGTTTTGTTGCCACGTTGTTTCATCTGTTTGTCAGAAACATATGAGAAAAGATACTATGAAAGATCATGACATGTTGAAAAATGTAATAATTGATGAGATTTAGGTCTTACAATACAACCTGGAAACAAAAACAACTTCTCTCAAAAAAAGGCAGACTTGAAGTCAAAAAGAAAGTGTGACTGACTAAATGGAATTATTCCAATAATATCTAAAAGAGAGTATCATTATGAATTGATTCCTCCAAAGATATGTCAACCAAGCATTCTTCCTTGAAATTTTTAGATTTTTTATAACAAGGTGCCTTTCCATACAGCACTTGTGGTAAAGATATTTTTGACATAAATACGTCTATACGGAAGGGTCATTCGGCAAAAACAGCGTTACGATTTGTAGGATCCATACCAACAATGTGTATGTATGGACCGGCAATGATCAGCTTTTATATGAACGCCTGCGTGCATAACAATGCAAGAAAAAGGATTCGAATTTCTAACGCCTGCAACAATATTGGCTGAGCATGCCGCAAGGCTCTTTTCTAATTTATTATGTATATCGCTGTAAAATTGCCTGAATAAACTTTATTACAATCCACTCCTTTACCTAAGAAACTAATTGTTATGTCAACTGTTTATTCGGCATTGTTGTGTTTTACTACTGCCGTTAACAATTCGCTTTCGTTATTGCTGAAAGAGCTGAGCTGTGAATCGCTTGTAGAAGAAGTGCGTCGTAGAGTAGATAATATTGTGCTGTTAAAAACGTTTTAGAATATCACAAGTACTTATCTTATATAAGAATTATTAAGAAATCTGTGATACTGCCCTCCACTCTCTCCATTTTCGTTTTGATTAAATTGAACATTGCCGGTGGACATCGTGGTCTCTTACAATTGAACAAAGTTTGAGGTAAGGGATAACCATTTATAACAATATCATGTCAAAGAGTTGACATTTTTCTGATACTTTGTATGTGTGTATATTTTTTTATAGAACCAATCGGGTATTGCCAGGGTTCGTTAATTGTTGCGGTGAAATTTCAGCATCATATTTGGATGTTAAGTTACATCAACTAAACTATTGTCGACAGTCGTAATCTTCTATGAGAAGATGGCAGCACAATTTCCAGCTGGTTTTCCATCGCTATAATGTTTTGGTATTGTTGCGATCATGCTAAGTGAAGGGTTTGGTCAATAATTCGTATGGTGATTTGATTAAAATTGTGTGTTTACATTTTTAAAAACATGTGAATTATGAGCTCGGTAAATCTAATTGGAGTAATAGGTCTTCAGGTTTTGCCTCGCTTGTGGTAGGTTATGTTTGTTGGTGGCCTCGTATATATATACCTACACCTTTTTTACATTCGTCGGATCCATAAGTTAGTCAGTTGACAGCAGGGTGTGGAATAAGTCATAATAATACAGTACATATTATACAAGTATAATTCATTAATAAGACTATGCATTCAAATGAAAGAGCTAAAATCTCTGATCTCTTAAATAGACTAATACATGAATTTCTAGTCATAAATCTAACAGCTTTCATTTTGAATTCATATGGTATGTTTTGATAATTTATACATGCTTTGTCTGAGTCATTTTTTATTTTAAGTTAGTATTGTTATGGATGTTGATTATATTACATATGAACATTTCAGATACATGAGCGTTATTGATATATCATTACAAAAGGTAAACTGTTTTAAAGAAAGGCAATGTCATGTCGTCTATCCCTTTGATGACATTACATAATTCAAAACCTGCATCAGATGAAACTTATGATTCAGACCAACTGTCAGATGAAGAGGATGATCCATTGGAGGGTCTTCTAGCAAGAATGAAATACAGGTGTGACAACTTATTTTATATTGAATAAAAATGTATGCCTAAAAAGTAAATTAGAACATGCAAGTAAATACTTGTTATAGTAAGTAGATACAGAAGTATACAAAATATTTATCTGGTTTCTAACAAGCGTATGTAATTGTCGTGTCATTAAGACTTCCAGCAAAGGTGGCCTTCTTTTGGAACAAGTTTTCTCTTTGTGAGATATAATAATGCCCTTGGTTCTTAGCTGCAATTTAGAAAGAACTGCAGTTTCCATACTCCGATCATATCCTAGCAGCATAATTGTTAAGATTGTAATTTGTAGCAAGCTGGGCAATGTGTTTTGATCCACCTGGGTAATGTGCTATTGCTTCGTCTCAGCCTCTTTGGCATTCTTATCGCTAGTATGCTGTCCATCTGTACCTCTTTCAGAATTTAACTTTTATTTTTAGTTTTTGTGTTTAACATTTATATAGGATAGCATAGTAGTAATGTGTCTGACCTGTGTTGAGGCAGTTGCTAGTTCAAACATCAGGTGAAGAATCAGCTATTCTGATATGAGGTTTTCTCTATTAATCCATGCTAATGAATTGGTTCAACAGGCCACAGAATTACAGACCTCTAGACTTCTGGTCCTGTGTTCTGTGTTCAGGAGCTGCATGTTTTGTGGTTGGCTTTGTTGTCAGTTATGTACTTTTTCTGAGCATAGATCAGAACAGCAGATACATGCAGACAATTGATAATGATGCAAATCCCCAAATAGCATCGGCATTTCTGCAAGAAATCTCGGCTGCAAGTATAGGCAACTTTGTGAGGTAAGTTTGCTTGAGTTAATTACAAGAAAGGAAACATATTGTGATGATTTGCTTACAAGTTTAAATAAATCTGACAATGTGTACCACCATTATACTATCAAATCATAATAATCATCTTCTTACATCTTCCCAAGCCATGGACTAATTTAAGGTTTTAAGTGATTCTCTATTGACATTTATTACTGACTTGAATTATCTGCAAAAATTTAAGAAAAGAGCAAATGCAAATAACTGTGGATTGTACGTTTTTTTGACTTCGTTGAAACTGGGTTTTATAAAATGTAAATAACTGTGGATTGTACGTTCTTTTGACTTCGTTGAAACTGGGTTTTATTTGGTTGTGTCTAAGCCAGTATGCCTATGTAGTAATAACGAGAGAGTAATTAAGAACGCCGATTGATTTATTATCACCGGGTTAACACTCTAACATATGAGGCATTAACTTCTCTTTTTATAGGGCTCTCAATGTATCCAGAAATGAGTCGCAACATAGCAGTGCCCTTAAATTGCAACGTCACTTCTTGAGTTTGGGTTTTGACTCAGTATCACCTGTAACACCCACAGAAGTCATACTTTCGTACTATGATGGAAGTAAACAGAATTTGGTAATGAGTTATTTTTCTAACTTCAAACTTTTGTCTTTAGGGGTCATCAAACATCATATCCTTTTATCAGGTGTCTGAATATTTCAGTATATGATCTCATCTCAGCAAAAATTGTATAAGTTGGCAAAAGCACAGAAAAGTAGTGTTTTTTTGTTTATGTTTTCAGTTTATTCTGTATAATCAATTAAATACATTTTCACTACAGCTAATGAAATTTCGTAATAAACACACTGAATTACCCTACATTTTTAATTTGGCGATAATGAGAAACCTCTTTTTATCAACGTTAAAATAATTTGTCTGATGCCATTTTGGCTCTGATTGAGTTCATATGTAACACATACAGTACACAATATTTTTTGACGTAAATACGTCTATAAGGAAGGGGCATTCGGCAAAAAAGTGGAACGAAAAAGGGAAACGAAAA